AATGGTAAGAATAAACAGAAAATATATTTTACAAGATGAGATAAAAGTAAATTGTTCAAAACTTAATCCTAAAAGAAATTTGCGAATCTTGTACACTGTACAAAAATAAAACTATGACAGAATTCATTAAATTTTCAGGTTTATAAGTTTATTCAAAATTATTTTTAAAAAACCAATAATTTTAAGAATTTATAATATATATATTAATCTTATGATATTGATGACTATTTCTATTAGAAATTTTTACTAAAACTATAGGGTTACACAGATAACCTACCTATTTAATGTATAATAATAATAAATCATGTAAAATTTATAAATTTTATTACCATCTGAAAATAAATAGTACAAACTGTCCGCCATATTAACTGTTGTTATAACTTATAACCTATAATAATACAAGCTATCTGTAGTTTTCATTAAAGTAGTATTAGTGTTTTACAACCATTTAATACTAGTAGGACAGTCATCCGCTAATTACAAAGATAAAGGTTGCTCAGGTTGCTCAGTGAATCAAAAACATTTACTTTGGAACCTCGTAAATATCCAGTTGTTACTGTATAAAAATCCGATTTTAGTAAAACAAAATAATATTATTTATTTTCCGTGTCAAATTGCATATATACTTACGTATAGATATAGCTAGGAATATTATAAAATGTTGCATGTGATCTCATCTGCAGTCAAAACTCTTAGTATGCCTGACTACATTTTTATAGAACATCAAATTTCAAAAATATTTTTTAATATTTTTTTCCATAATCCATTCTACTTTTTAAGTACTATTTTACAAAAACCTTTTTTATAATTTTACTGTCTTCAGTGTAGTATTTATTTCCAAAAGCTATTATACTACTGTTTTATTTTCCCGTATTTGTCATTTTTGCTTTTCGTATTCAGAAAAAAAAACCAAACAAGTCACTTATCTATAAATAGTTCAGAAGGAGTTAAAATATTTAGAAATTATACCACATAGAATATGAACAATTATATAATTTTTATTAATTATGGATATTGTTATTTTAATCACTTGGTAAAAATATAACATATTAACGTGTATTTATTTTTGAGTTATATCATAAAAACCAAAACTATATAGTTTTTGAAAGAAATTTAATTTGATCTACTTAAAAATTATACGCATTCTATTCACGTTCTATTTGATTTAAGTGAGTGATTTTTGTAAAATATGAACTAACACTGATATTATGTAATAATAATATAGCTATCAGATGTGTATCTTATTTATATATTTTTGTATAACAATAATCTTGTCATAAATAAATATTATTCGGTTCTATAATAGGCAAATACTTTAATTTATATAAAAATTAAAAACCGTGTAAAATTTTAAATTGCTGTGTAAGGTGTAGTATAGTATTTGTATCAAAAAAGTAGTTTATCAATAAATAATATCATATATTACTTCGTATAATAATGAACTCAATCAAAGAACTATAATTAATTACACTAAAAAAATGGTTAATCTGACAAATTATATTTTTATATTAAAAAATGTAACTTAAGTGAAGACTTCCAGAACATATGAATACTTTTTCTAGTAATTTTTACGTTCATTATTGACGATCATGTATGAGAGTAAAGATAATCTCCCGCCCGCTTTGTCCAAATTGCACAAGACAAACTATAAATAATTGTTGGACTTAATTTGTGAGTACTTTTGTGTTGGTTTTGGAATTTAGAAGTTTATCGATTCAAAGCTTTAGTTAAATTATCTGGCGATGTGTATGACTAACTTCATATTAAAGTTTAACACTCAAAATGTTGACATAAAAAAAAATCTTGAATATTATATGAGCTTAAATTTAACCTAACCTTAAAGCTTCTTCGCCCTACCCCCTATAGTTTTATTTAAATTACTTATGCAATCATTTATCATATATCACTTTATTAGTGTTTCCGATCGTTGTTTATAATTCTATTATACATTTTTCGTTTTAAAATTGGGCGAATTTTCTTCTGCCATTTTCAGCTTATAGCCTATTCTAATTTATATTTTTATCTGTTCTGTTTCTATGTTACTATACTTACTATATAAAGAGTGTAAATGTATCATTTGCTAATATAGTTTAATAAATTTGTATTTTATATGTATCAATGTATATTATATTTGGATTTAATAAACACGTTATATTGGTATTTGCTGAATGTGAGGGATTGTAGTCCACAATGTTGATAACTTAATCATTGTTACAATTTTTTTAAAGAACGCTAATTTTTTTTACTTAACAAAAAAATCCTTTTCTAAAAAACACATTTTTCCATTTTGAATTTTATTATGAAGATATAAGGTTACTTCATTAAGTCTATATGTGATATGTATGTATGTATTTATAGTAAGTTAATACCTAATATTAATATTCATAAACGTATAGAGTCCTAAAATTGTATGACAACTTAGGTAAGTAGGTTATAATATTATAAAAAATATTTTATTAATATTCAAATTTTAAATAAGTATTTTTAATGGATTGGCTATTAAAATTTAAATATAGATGATATATTATGTGATAAAAATATTTATAAGCTACTATTTAAAAAATTTCGTTGCATATCTATTATCTATGTATAGCAATATTATTAATTCATAAAATGTTTATTTTCAAAGAATAATTAATAATTATAATTGTTCGTATAAATTATTAAAAAGTATACGCTTAAACCAAATGCATAAATATAAAATAAATGGCAATTAAAAAATAATTCACTTCCAAAGGATATTATATTCTTTAATTATATTGATTGGACATATTTTTTATTAATATCATTACTTTTATTATATTTTGTATAGTATTTTCATTCAAAAAAAAAAAAAATAATAATAATAATAATAAAGACAGGGACTACCCAAGCAGCCAAGTTACAACATTTTAAGCGTATTTCTACGTAATTAAACTAATTAAACTTATTTTTTAAGTATGCCTAATAACATGTATAGTTTTATCACAACCACTAGATTTAAAAAAAGTTATATCTATTAACTTGTGATCGCATTACTTAACAAAAAGTAACCTATAGGGCATAGTCAATAATTTATTTGCATATTATCATGTAATTAAAAAAAAAAATAACATTGTAATAGTGTCAACGATTTGAATGAATACTCCTTTCACTCAAATCGCTCTGTCTGTATCTTAACATCTCTTTGCACATACTTAATATTAATTGAAATAAATAGTAAAATAAATTCATTCTCTTGACATGATTTCAGCGTACTATTTTCTCATTCAGGTCTATATACGCAACATAGATGTTATTATATATTCACGCAGAATCATTTATTTTGTTTTTTTTTTCTGTAATCTTATACTCCATACTTAATACAAAATCTACTACCGCCATTAAATTAATAATTACCTTTATATTGGATGCTGGCTTTATTATTTAATATGTATTATAATGTTTAATGTACAATGTTATTTTATGTATTATCTCTGTAATAGTCGAGCTGTCATAGTTGTAAACTAATAGCTAATAAAAATAAAAAAAAAAAAAAAAAAAAAATGATAAAATATGAAATCAATATCACAAACCCTCTAAAATATTATCCTCAATCATTTTTACAATAAGTGTCTTACTCTAAGATCGCTTAAAAATCATAAAATAATTTTATGTGAATGTATGTTATTAATAAAATAAAATATTACGCTAAATATTGACACCCTCTTAATGTATATAAAAATATCGTATTTGGGTAATTTATGTTATTTACATTCATCTACATCTATAAAATACAATGCATATACAGTGAAGTGAAACCACTAAATATCAGACATTTTTGGTCGTTAAAATTTGGTCAGCTATTCAAAGGATTTAGTTTGTAGAAAGTTTTTAGTCTGTTCTCAAAAAAAACGTTTGCTATTTGGAGGTGTCTGTTAGGAGAGGTTTCACTGTATTCATAATACAAATTATTGGGTAATTACTTAAATAATTAAAAATATCTAATTTGTTTTTAAAATATAATTTTTTATTTTGAATAGTTTTTTAATTAAACTTAACCTAACCAACATTTTAGAAGTCTTACAAGTATATAATACATAGGTACATATGTATTTAATAAGAATTAAATAATAAAACAAATTTTAAATTTTCCTCCCCCTTAATGGACATAATTTCTAAATATTTTTTATAATCAATGGTAAAGAAAATATTATGTATATTGAATAGTGATTCTTAATAATTAGATAAGTCATAAGACGTGATAACACTTTAATTTATTATAATGTTGTCTTATTTAGTTTGAACGCCTTGAACAGTATAACATTATGAATAACCTAAAGACCTGAGATTTAAAGCAAATATGTACATTATGCTTTTCTTAGAATTCTTAACTAGTGTTATTATGACGTTAAGATGGCTTAGTTGCACATTTCAATAATTACTCTACTCGATACACTCATTACCTAGTGTAATTATTAATTTTCTACAACTAGCTAAAGGAAAACTGAAAAACATATTACCTAATCTTACGCCATTAAAATGTAAAACAAACATCTTAATTCAAAATATTGAAAAACCCAAGGCAAACTGAACAAAAACGATAAAGTAAACAATGTAAGTCATAACTAATGTTTGTTAAAGTGTATTTAGATTAAGTACCATAAGTTGATACTTATTGAACTCCACGGCCATTTTACTCATATTATCTTCAATCGGGTACTATAGTTATTTTTTATTTTAGTTACATGAATTAAACGTGATCTATTGGATATTTATGTTTATGTTAACATGTTCTTAAACAATTGTTTCGTTATAACTATACATTACTATTTAATATTAACAATTAAACTATTATGTAGACATAAATAATTATAAGTTTCAATCAAAGCGGATGATTTCAGCAGGTGGTGGTTACCTTAATCATATAGGTGTATAACAATCAATAACTAGCGAGTATTAGCAGGGCCCTAAGAAAAATCAATCTCTGTGATTACTGTGATATCAATTTATTGAAAAAATAACGAATAGAATCTTAGTACCTGTAATGCGTGTTTGTAGTCCGTAGAAAAAATAATAATAACACCTTTAGACTTATAAGCCGTCGTCGAACCGAAGAGTGTGAGAAGATAAACAACGTGTATTCTTCTGCAGTAGTATCGGATTAATTCGAGTGCGCATCGAGTAAGCTACCATTGTTAAGAGAGAAAAGCGAAAAAAAAAGGCTAGAACGATTTAATTTTAATTGATAACCGTCGCACTATTGTTACGATTTAAACAATAATAATAATAATATATTTTTCACATAATTCACAATAGAAACGTGTGGACGGAAACGGAAACGTGCGCCGGTACAACGACGAAGACGCGTACACTCGCACAACACAATTATTCTCCGCGGACGACGGTCGGTTGGAATGAACCACGCCGAAACGGTTCGCGTGCCGGTCCAGTACTGACTACGGTCTACGATATTATGTAGTGTGGCGGCGGTTCTTTACCACCGGCGTGGCGGTGTGTCTCCGATGTCGTCCGTCTGTCGACCGACCCGACAATCACTCCTCCGCACGCACACACCACGGTGCGGCACTACGGCGACGGCGGGTGCGGGCGCGCGCGCACGCACACGCGTCGAACGCACGACAAACGGCCGTCGACGCAAGCAGCTGCCTCCGAGCAACGGCGGCGGCGGTGGTAGAACGAAGACGACGCGGGCCTCGACTATAAAATACAATGATAATAATAATAATAATAATATAAACACCGAGAGTGTATAGTAAAATCGGACGTGTGTTTCGAGAAGCGTGCAGACCACGAGGAGTCCACCGCGTCGTAGTCTGGAGGTCGTGGAATGTTGGGCGACGGGCCTCGTGTGTACAGTAGTACAGCCACCCCCTAACCGAGCCGCCGGGTGTGTGGGCGTCGCGGCGGGGTGCGCGAGTGTTTGTGTGGGTGGTGTGGTCGCTGGTGGTAGAGAAGAGGGGGCAGAGAATTCGGCGCGTTTTCGTCTGCCCGGCGTTCACATCGGTCCGTGAAGACGACGACGACGACGACGACGACGACGACGACGCATGCAATAAACACAACAATAATAATAATATATTATATTATAATAAAACACGAAAATAATATATAATGCCTACACATTATACGTCATATATTTTATTATACGGATGTACGTTTTTCAAAATGCGCATAATATATAATACACTGCCACACTGATATGGTGTCTGGTATATATTATTAACAAGGAATTTTAATTTTTCACGCGCGTTTTGTCAGGAAATCAAATTTCATTTTCTAAACTATCCATATTGTAAGTTAAATAATATGAATCGATATTTTATTTTATTTTTAAACACACCTATAAATGGCATTGTATATCCCTTCCAACACGGCGATATATGCAAGTGTCGGCGGAACGTGTTTTGCGAACAGAGATGAATCTTTTAAATATTTAATCGATTGAGCTAAGTATTTTATTTTTAACCATAATAATGTACAGTGGATCGCGCAAACGTTCTTCGTAATTTTAAAAAAAATATTATATTATTAATACATGAAAAAGAAAAAAAAATTAAAATTGGTTAATAATTAATAATAAAAACGACTCATAGATAACTACAATATTTTGTAGCGCATTGCAGTTGAATATTAAAATCACATTAAATCAAAAATAATCAAATATTTCAAATTTATTAGTTGCTCAAAAAGTATCAAAATATTTTGAAAAATGTTTCAAAAAAAAGATTTGAAATTTTAACCTATCCTAACAATCATATAATATATTATTATAAATATTAATATCTAATATTAGGTACATTAGGTTTTGATATTTCAATTTCTCAAATCATAACAATATTTTAATCGTCAAAAATAAAAAATCAATTAAGTACAAATATCAATATAGTTATACCCACATATAAATATTTATAATGTCATTAATAGCGTAATCATTTATAAATTATAATTTCCTAAACTCACATCAGATAACCAATTTATTTATTAAAATTAGGATATATTTTACCTGATTAAGTATTTGATGATTAGTTCCTAAAAAATGCTCATTTTATGATATTTTAAAGTCATTCTTATAAGTTATATTCATAAAAATGTCCTCCTTTAAACCTTGAACATGTTCATGAATAAATTATTAATAATTATAAACCTATACCAAAAATCCTAATGTTTGAAAAAACTTTTCAAAAACGATTTCATTAAAAATTACAATATTCCTAAGTTTTTTTTTTTATGAATACATATGTTTTGTTATGGATAACTATTACCAATATTACAGTTTTTAAACTACTTTGGGTTTATTTAAATCTAATCCCCATTTAGACAACGTATTCTATATACTGATTTCAAATAAGCAAGAATTTGATATAATACATCACACTCTATACTAATATGAGCTACTTATTAGTATTCTAAATTCATAATTAGCTTAATTTTAATTATTTTTAACTAATATAATCTAGAATATCTAGATTGTTAAATACAAAAACTTTCAATGAATGTATTCAAAAATTACCAACGAAATCTGAGGCATTCCTCAAGGTACCATTTGTCACAAATTTTTCTTTTTTTTAATAAATACATTTTGTTTACTAGTTTTACTAATAAGTTTAAACAAATTATATATTCTAGAATTATAATATGTTGATATTAATTAATAATTGGGTTTAAACGTGATATTTTTTAAAAAAGGCATTCATTTGAACACAAGATATATATATTGCATAAAATATTAAATGATTAATAAGTTTTAGTTTTTTTTAGATACCTCTGGTTCATATTGTACTATTGTACATTTTAGTAACTTATAAGCCAAAATGCTAGATTTAACGGTTTGGCATTTCGTTACCTACAAAATAAAATAAAATTGTTTATAAAAATACGTGTTTTCAGTTATATTTTTAATATTGCACGGAAAAATAAAAATATTATTATTTTTCTTTTTCTCAAGCAGGGTTGACATTTAAGCCATCAGTTATCGTGTCGTGTCCAAAAGTTTAAGTTGGACTAACTTTTGAAATTTCCTAGTAATGCATGTTTGTGAACAATAAGGCCAATCGGAGTATGATGAAGGACATAACGGCACGACAGACGATTCCCCTGATAAATAACTCTGCGGAAAAGTAAGTAACCACGGAAAAAATAACCCCATAATAAAAAATTGTTTGTAACATATAATATAATATTCATAAGCTTTTAATGTCAGTATATAATTTAAAAACATTAAGGTATATGGTTTTTTATGTAAATTAGAATTCATTTTTCTATCAAAAAATGATCATTATTAAATAATATAACCATTAAAATTTCAATATTACAATATTAATATATAAAACGAATTTCATACAATTTTTAGTAAAATAGTATACTATTTTAATACCTAACCTAATAAATGTCAACAATATATAAATATGAAAAATAAAATAAACAAAAAATATGTTGTCGCAACAGATATCTACAATAGCTTTCTCATATATATATTTTTTAATACGTCCATTTCAGTTGTTCACATTAGGTTTCAGACATTTTTTTTTTGGATACTTTTAAACATTTTAGAGGGCAAGTTTTGCACGCGCTGCCGATAGCTCATTTTTTATTTTATTGATTATAATGTCCAAGTATATGGGTATTTTCTTCCAACTAAATGACAAAATCGATTTTCCACTACTCGCAATCATTTATATGATGATTATTTTGAAGTGTTTTTTGGCAAATATTCTAAATTTTTGAAAAAAAATATCGATGGAAAACGTCAAACAGTTAAACTTAAAACATCCTGTTTAATAATTCGACTCGATTCAATCACGTAGGTTTCATAAAAATATTTAAATAACTCATCAGCATCAAGAAGTATGTTTAATTTTAAATAGGTAGTCAACATCTTCTTATCTCCTAGTTAGTGGCATTAAAGCTAAACCATCTAATATACCACAACAATTATTGAAATCATAATCTTCTTGATAACTTTTTTTCCTAACTGTGTTAATTTTTTGTGAGTGTTCTGGTATGGATGTTTCAAACATTCATTGATAATTGAATGTTTCCCTAATACATTTTTTTTTTTTATTTATTAATGCATTTTTAAAGTCAATTTTAAGGTATAGTAGATTTAGAAAAAGATTGTTTTTTTCATAAAGTGAAAAAAGTGAACTCTTTTTCGAGTAAACAAAAAAGAACCGTCATGAATTCATTATATTTTTAAATTCTTATGATGAATAATTGCAAAAAAATGTTTCAATGCTAACCCAAAATGTCTATTTACATACCAGGTATATTTGCAAATGTGAATAGCTAAAATAGCTTCAAATTGTTTCAGGTACTGAATATTATAACCCTTTCATTGTTTTTACTATGGTTATCAATTAATAAATATGTTTCATATTCAAAAACATTCCATAAACTACAATACAATTATTATTTATAATGATTTATAATTAAACTTATTTTATTATGTTGATTTTATTTAATTTACTGTTTTAATATATTCCAATTTTTGTTTAATATATAGTTACATAGTTATGATTAATAATAATTATATTTTTTTTTTTTATTTTTTTATTGGTCTTGAAATTTATACAATTTCTGCTTCGACTACTATATTTTTTTTTATAAATTAGCTGTTTAAAATACGATAGTGAAACGGTGTCTTTGCATAGTATCTTTTAGATTATTAGGTATTTTTGAAAAACTCTGACTTCTTTAATTTTGAATGGCTTTTTTTTTACTTTTCTTTGTAAAATTGTTCAAAAATACTTTTTGAAAAACCCGTTGCAGCTTTTTTTTATTTTTAAATAAGTATGTATTTATAATCTGTAATATAATAAAACAATAAGTAAATTTGATAATTTGTTTCTACATTTTTTTGGAGGCTTGATTAAAGGGGGCGTCCATCGACACTACTTCAAATTGTTTATTTTTTTATTCATTTATTTAGCGAAGTAAATCACGAGGCCAGTTGTGTTTTAGTCGACGGGGAGGGTTATCAGGGAAAGTCCTAGAGGAAAAGTTTTAAATTAGTAAGTTTGAATGATTATTTGTATTAAAATGAAATTTTTTATAGTATGCAGAAGCGAGGGTAATAAGAGTTGGAATGTTGAGATCTTTATGGATTGTATGATTAGTAACATACCAAAGCGCATTTGTCAGAAGACGAAGACTATAATCAACTGAAAGAATTGGGGAAGATTTAAGTTTGATTTTTTGGTTGAGCCCCAGATTTGAATTCCGTATGTCAATGCAGAACGAATTAATTGTTTGTATACAAATTTTTTGTCGCTAAGTAAAATTTTAGAATAGAGAAGTTATTGAAGTTTATGTAGTTTTAGTTTCTCTGTTAAAGCTTCTGAAAATAACTGTACAGTCGTAGATTTTGATAATTTAGTTCGTATTTTAATTTGCATTTGATTTTTACAGCACAAATTTCATTTTGACATGGAAAGTGATTATGATGATGATGAATTTGAATTTTCCGCAGTTTGTCCAATGATGTTTTCAAAATATTTGAACATTTGTGACTATTTTTTTAATTTTTTTTACAATATTTCTATCATATTAAACTTACATAACATATATATTCCCTCCAATTAATGATTTTCTTTGCATTTCTGGTTTTAAAAAATATTCGTAGGTACTATTCATATTAATCAGTAATTATTAATCAGACAGAAACGATGTAAAAAAAAAAGA